GGGACAGGAAAGATGCTGGGAGGGAAAGGATGCTGGAGGGGGGCAAGGATGCTGGAGGGGGGCAAGGATGCTGGAGGGGGGCAAGGATGCTGGAGGGGGGCAAGGATGCTGGAGGGGGGCAAGGATGCTGCAGCTCAGCACCCTGCCTGTCGTGTCTGCAGGGGGAAGCCCATCCCCGCAGCTCCTTCGCCCGGGAGCCAGCGTAGCAGGGCCTCCCTGCGAACAGATGGCAAGTGATCTGAACCTCGGGGCTGCGCTCCATAACGTGTGTGAGCAGAGCCGGGAGCGGGGAGCCACCTGGCTGAGGCTTATTTACCGAAAGGCAGGCAGAAGGAGAGGGCGGGAGGGGAGGAGGAGAGGGCCCTGCCTTCAGCGAGCAACGAAAACGTGTGGCGAGGTCACAGCTCCCTCCCGGTCCCCCCCTTGGCTGATGGGAGTCATCAGCACCCGATGATCACACCCCATCTGCCCACCACACTCCGAGCATCCATCCAGAGGCACCGGCTCTGGTGCTCCTCAGTGGAGCCAACGCCAGAAGCCGTAGGGGGGAGTGTTCCCTTGGCGGGGAGAGGGTCCCTGCCGTCCCCGGCTATTTGTGATGCTCTTTCAAATATTTATTCCAGGAACGGGAGCAAAAAGCTGGTGCATCTCCCTGCACTGCACAGCTCCTGTGTGCCAGCACAGCCTGGGAGCGTTCCCCTTGGCGGGGAGAGGGTCCCTGCTGTCCCCGGCTATTTGTGATGCTCTTTCAAATATTTATTTCAGGAACGAGAGCAAAAAGCTGGTGCATCTCCCCGCTCTGCACAGCTCCTGTGTGCCAGCACAGCATTGGCCTCCCCGTGCCCCTGAGCTTGGGGCTTTGGGGGAAGGGGAAGGGGAAGGGGAAAGGAAAAAAAACCCTTGTCAACATGATCTCAGGAAGCGGAGTTCGACATGGTCAGCATGGAGAAAACCCTCCCTGACAACCAAAAGGTAGTCAGGCTTCAACTGAGCGTGCATCAGGGGTCAAGGATGAAGGGAGGACCCTTCATGCACTGCCAACCACAACAAAAGGGAGGGAGAAGAACCCAAAGCACTGTAACATAGTGAGACACAGCACTCACCCAGGCTGCTGGGACCCTCTGTTGGCTGAGGAGGGGTCCATCACCTCCATGAAAGAGACAGCCCACCCCGAACTGCCACCTGGGCTTTGTCACCCAGGGATTGCCACAGTCAGTCAGCTGAGCCTGGACAGCCAGGGGTAGGAACCCACCACCCACCCAGACCAATGCCTCCGTGGGCATCACACAACCACATGGCAAACAGGAGTGCACACACACACACCCCACACGTGTGTCCAGCATTCCCATCTCCCACAGAAGTTCTAATTGTTCAGAAAGGGATGGGAAGAAGAGCTACCGTGGGGTGTACAATACCCTAAATAATCTGCTTTAACTTTTGGCCAGCCCTGAGGAGGTCACGAAGTTGGACTAGATGATGGTTGTAGAATCCTTCCAACTGAAATTGCCCTATTTCATCCTACCCTATTCCATCATACTCTATTCACCCCAGCTCTGCCCTGCAAGTCCCACCAGGGCTGCACACGCCAAACACAAGCTCAGCCATTGGCTCTGGTGCTTCTACACTACCATAGGTAGTGTCTGCCCTCCCCACCACGACACAGCCACGTCATCAGCACCTCAGCACTGGCTCCTCCTAAGGATGGCCAAACACAACACAGATTTAGAGGCAATAGGACCACCCTCTCCTTGAGCAGAGCTTGCCGAACCGCCTTCTCTCCCATCCCCGGTTTCCAGGAGATAAATCCATCAGGGCTACCGAGCCCACATCTTCATCACCACGCTGAGAGCTTCTCCAGCCTGGCAGAGGTGGTGAGATCCACCCCGAGGTTTAGCACGACGCAATGATCTCAATCTCACCCCGTCCTACAGCGGGGGCCTTCGGCAGAGTAACAACCCCACCGACAAGCTGAAGCAGAGGAAGCCCGAGGCTCTTCAGCCTCCGCAAAACACGCTTCCATCCTCCAGCAGTGATTTAAGGACGCAGCTGAAGGTCACCCTACCTTTGTAAAGCACACTCCGTGTTCCCGTCGTACACCTCCCTCCTGTCCACCCCCGGACGCTATTTTGAAAGGCATTTGCTCCCCTTATGGCTCCCCTACTCGCTTGCACGTCTCCCACAAAACTATTCCTACCAATAGCCTTTCTTTCTTCCCTCCCTCCTTTTTGCTGGCACAAATTGCAGTGGAAAAATATGTTGTTTGGCTTAAAAATTACAACAACAGAAAAAAAAAGTCATCAACTGAACAATACGAGTGATGTTTGGGTAAAAATACATTGCAACAGAGATAGGAAGTGGCAGCACTCGTTCCAGCACTTGCGGGACTCCCAGTGCATCCAGGAGAGCCCTACCTTTCCCAGTCACATAGGGTGGGTATGGAGGGCTGTGCTGGGGAGATACCAAAACCAGTATCTCCCCAGCTTCAGCAGCCAGGAGGAAATCTCCAAAACACAGTCCCAGGCTCTGATCAGTGCAAACACCACAACCTGTATTTGAGAGAGGCACCGGTTACATACCTCTACTGGTTGCACTTTGATGGTGTCTCTCCGCCATCCCAGGGCATTCCCAAGGGTCCATCTCAAGGTACAAGGAACTGCAGAACCCCTTTGACTGTGCAACCAGTAAAGGCTGGGAAGGTGGGATGGAGCCAGTGGTGATGCAAGTGCCCCCTAGCCCTTGGAAATCAGCCCTCAACCTCACTGAGATATTTCAGGGTCTTCAGACTTGGTCTTAGAGGACCCCAACAGAGCAGCTCTACCACACACTGGAGAACTGCCCTCAGCCTGAGCCAACTCTCCTGCATACCACAGAGACCCCATATCTTCCCAGTACATGGAAGCCCCACACAATGCTGCTGGTGGGGCAGGAGAAGGGCACCAGCTCCTCTCCAAACCGGCCTCAACACCTTTTGGTGTCTCTGGGTGGTTGGGAGAGTGGAGTGACCCCACAGCTTGGTTTTTCCAGCTTATTAAAACAGCGCAGT